TTAGTTATTAATTAATTTTCATAAAGATTCATATAGTCACTAACTGTAAGTCTAATGTTTTGAAGAAGTATATGGTCTAAGATTTTCGTAATATTACAAATCTTTAATCTACAGTTTCATTATATAAATAACTATAAGATCTATCAATCAGATTCTAATTTATAATCTGATAACATTTTATAATACATAACAATTCATCTGTACATATTGTTCGATAATCATGCCGAGCATATTGAGAAAAAACAAATGTCTTATATTATTGACTTTTTGCTTTTTTTTTTATTAACCCGGTTAAAATATAATTGAAATCAAAATCTACATATACACCCGGACAAAAAGACTAGCGCAACATGGTAATTTCAATCATATGATTTGATACTTTGGACTTAAGTAATTTAATAGATATATACATAGAATAACAGGGAATATTGAAAGCTATTATTGAAACATTTTGAATAAAAAGTAAAAACCTAAAAATGACATGATTTTTGCTCACAGTCAGTTCAAATGTTTGTTAAACGCGCAATTGTGTTATTATTTTTTACTATGGTCCTAGAAATGTTATTCACGGTTATGGTTCCAAAGTTTAAATGCACAAAAATAATAAAAATTAACCACAATAACCGAAAAATGATCATAATTCCACCAAAGCTCTAGGTTGCACTTAAAAGCTCATAATTTCCAAACATGAGATTTTTTTTCTAAATTTTTTCAAGCCTGTTAAGGTCAACTTTAAAGCCTAGGATACGATGGATATATAAATAAATAAATAATATTTACATATCTACCACGTTTCTCCATTATGCCCCTGTTACTCTATATATCACTATGTGTAAAATTTTAATTCTTTTCAAGTCTATTTTATTATATATATTTCTAAGCAATTAAATGATTTTCATCATTGTATTTTTTATTTTTATTTCAATTTTTTTGTGGTAGGCTATGCTGATTATTTTTTGATCGTCTCGCAATCCTTTTGTCGAGTATAATACATATTTTTAAATTCAATTAATCGAAATATTTGAATAATGTTTGATTAAAATGCCTTTCAACTTCATTGAACAATCGTATTACTAAAATGATTTTCCTAAAACCGATAAAGTGTGGTGATTATTGTATGGAGTTCCAATGCTTTTAAGATTCGAATAACTATTTTATTGATGGCAGTGGATTTAAAATTGTGATAAAATGTACCTAATATTTTGTTGAAATAGTGAAATTTGTTTTTATAATTATTTTTATCATATATAATATAATTAAGATACTGTGCGTTATCTCGTTCGGATGATAAGTACTGAATAATGTAACTTGCTAGTTTTGTAACGTGTGTAAGTTATATGATAGTAGTATGTAATATTTAAGTATTCTTGATGGTTTTTTTAGTCATATATCTATAAAAGAAAAATCTTATTACGCGCATTTATTTCGGCAAAATAATATTTGTTTGTTTATGATAAACTACAGTATGTGGTTGAAGTTAATGTCACTGGTTAATTATTGCATGTTGAAAAATTATGAGTCGCTTCATCAGTTTGCAGGATAATGGATTTGATGTTTGGTAAATTTTGGTTTTATAATATTAATAGTAGCTATTGTACTTTATCTCTTAAAATATTTTATTTCTCAAAAAATTGCATTAATAAAATTTGTTTTTCATAGTAGGACCTCCTATACCCGCATAGTGGTTTGTTAGACTGACTGATGAGTAACTCGTATGAAACGCCGGCATAGGAGGGCTAATGAAACAAGAGAGGTTTGAAACCTTAAATATTACCACTCATCAAATTCAGGTGGCACCAGAGGCTATTATTCTGCAAGAAATACGGATCGTCATCTTTTTGTTAAATATTTCTTTGTTTGTCCTAAATCTATCAATTTATTTAAATTCAACAATTTCAATTCTATATTTTCAATTCCAAAATGATTGGCCTTTGTAAATCGACTCATAATTTACCAATTAATGAATTGGTATTTTCAATTTACCAATTGAAGAATTAGCATGATAATCATAACAATAATGTTACATATTTATTACGAATTTGACAATAATAGTATTAATTTATTATTAATCACTTACCTTGTGCAAAAAACGTTGCGTAACAATGACGGACGCGCTTCTATAAAAATTATATTCATTACAAGTAAGATTTATAGTTAACGCGTTTTTTTTTTATTTTTCATATTTTTTATTTGGCGTTGGCATGTCGCGCATCGTTTGTTATTTGCCATTGACTTATCCGCGGAATTATTTAAATAATTTCATAAGAAATTTTTTTCGGGGATTATTTATCTTTAATTTCATATAATTAAGTGATAAATAAACCTAAGAAATTTTGTTTGCACATTGCAGTGTTATTAGTCAATGGTTTTTTAACAATCATTCTACGTTATTTTTGGCGCTGATTGATATAGTGAGCATATGTGAATGTAGTGTAATTCTTAAAATAATAATAAAGTCATACATTGTTAAATTAATTTTGCATTTGAAATTGATCATTATTTATTATTTACTTTGTTAAGTGTTATTTTAATAGAAGATATTTTTGGCAATTAGTATACTAATTGCCTAAAATAAAACTGTCAAAATTTTTGATTTTATATACTGCAATTGGTTGGCAAGTTTTGCAACTTTCTTTGCTGTATTTGCATTTGGCAGTTTAGTTCTCGAATGCTATCCAATTTTGGCTTATGTTACAAAAGTTGTTGAAACAATGATCATTTTATATGCAACCTAATCATTACAAATTAGGCTTTAGGAACTAGAGTGAACTGTTTAAGTAGTTTGTAGTTTTTGAAAGACCTTATAATGTTTTAGTTACACAGGTCTTCAAAAAAAAGTTGTTTGTGTGCGGCATATGTTTTTAATCTAAAATTAAAATTAGGGGTCAAATGGCCAACAATTAAAAAAAAGAAAATCTTCTATCTAGTAATTCTTCTGCATGATAATTTTTTTTCTATTATTTCCTGGCTTTTTTTACCTTAACCCCTTAACTTACAATTTAGATTCGAAAATGTCGGCCCAAAGTTGTTCAAGCTGGCGCGGCGTTTGTGACTATTTTCCCTTATAGCGTACGGTTTATCACCAAAGTTAAAATAATTTTGTGTTTTATAGCTTAGTATGAATAACTATTTTTTAACTTCCCGTAGGGCAAGTTATAGTAATCGCAAAAAAATCGAAAATGAAAATTTTTATATATCTTTACGTTTCAAAGGTTTCTGAACATTTTGGCATACCTTAGAAAAAAATGTATGTGTGTGTGTGTGTGTGTGTGTGTGTGTGTGTGTGTATGTATGTATGTATGTGCGTGTGTGTATGTATGTGCGGATACAAATTTTCGTCGACGATTTCGGGAACACGGATCAACCGATTTGAATAATTCAAAAAACATTCGATTTGTATTGATAAGGAGACGTGCTGATTAGTTTTTGGCGAAGGCAGGTCTAGCCGTTCCGAAGATACGGGGCAAAAAGTGCCCAAAACGGTAACTCAGTTTTTAAGAGAACGGAGCGTCCGATTTGAATAATTCAAAAAACATTTCACTTGTATTGAGAAGATGAAGAATCGATAAAACTTTCATAAAGGTAGGTCTAGCGGTTTCGGAGATATGGAAGAAAAAGTAAAAAAAATGAGCCATTTGGCGGTCAAAAATGATCATTAGACATATGCACATCAAATTATCAGATATTTTATAGAGATTTTAACAATAAGTATACATTTTGTTAACATTTCTATGGGTTCCGTACCAATGCTTATGCGTTAGACAGCGACGCGGCGCTTACGCGCTTTATATTTTGTCCCTATGCAGTTAAAGCAGTACGATTGCTTTGAAAAAAAGTTCAGATCTTCTACAATATGTCAAAATGAAGAAAAAAATTTTTTCAAAAAAAAAAAATTAAAAAAATTTTTTTTTTTTTCAAAAAAAAGTTATTTTTTGTCGAATTTAGTTTCTCAAAAATCTTATTCTTTCAAAGTAATTTTTTTTCAAAAATGTTAATTGTTTTTAAAAAAAAATTTTTTTTGGTACGGGAAGTTCCAGCAATTTGCCTTAAGGCACGATGCCTTAATTGCCTTAAGACAGAATTCCACTTACAGCTAGTTAATACTTGCGTTCACCATACCGGACCATGCCCGAAATGCGCAATAATTGCTTCTGACCAGATTTTTGTACGTGGGCTATACTCGTAATATTCACTTTTGGCCTAGCAATCGCACGCGGGCTCTGCTCGCCATTTTAAGTTAAGGGGTTAAATGGCTTTTGAGTATTCACTTAAATGATCTATTAAGTTTATTTGTACATTACAGCAGGAATGCTTAAACAAATTTTCGGATATTCAATTGCAAGTGTGCTTGCAGATTTTTTAATTTTTTGCCATTTGACCTCCAACTTTGACTTTAGATTCGTGTTACGCAGTGAAAACTACATTGGAAAACACATGCTGCACACCCAATACAGACAACTTTTTAGTGGAGCTGTGTTATTTATGGATGCAAATAATAAAATAATAATTATAAGAAACTAGATAATTTAAGATTTTTGCACTACTTCGGCACTAATGTGAACAAGATTTTGTGGGCGCAAATAATTTTAGTTAGTACGCAAGGATTAAATATCTTCATAATTGAGCGGTAAACCATGTTTCTTGTGCCTTAAACAAAAATCTTATGCACACGTAAATTTATTTGGTTTATTGTTAATTATGCTGCCTTAAATTATATCATTTCTGTGTATATTACTTTAAGTTTTTTTTCTAAATTAAAATAATATTGTGATCTGTGACTGATCATTATGAACGTTCACTCTAGTTCCTTGTATACTTAAGACGCGAATTAAACACTTTCGATCGTGCTTGCGGAAATCCTTTGGTTTCGTAACAAAGCACTTTCTAATCGTCTTGAAAGAAAAATGTGTACGTCATCCTACCTTGCTGCAGCCACTTTACCAATCAGCAAAACAACTAAGCGCGTAGAAGAGCGCGGATGCCAGCATCGAACGGCAACGCTACGACACAATGATGTGCGGCGCCGAAAACAGTACGGCCATCGTCGCGATTATCGTGAACAGCGTGAAGATGATAAGGCACAGTCTGTCGACTACCATCGCGGCGAATTTCCAATCGCGCGATATGTCGTTGCCCTCGTCCTCCTTGCGAAGTTGATCGGTTATAACGCGCAATTCCTTAAGGATTAACGTCAGCTCGTAGTCGGCACCCTGAAGACAACCGTGGTGATGGTATGACTGACCTCCTCCTCCTCCACCGCCGCCGCCTATACTGCTACCGTCGTGGATGCGTGATGGACTGTTCTCGTCGCCGTGCCTGATTAGGATGAAATTATATGGTGTATTAATATTTATCCTTATATTGTATTATTCTTATATTTATTCGTGTAATAAAAAGCAACAATTCGAAAAATTAAACAACTATGTTGCGGTTGTTGTAGCACTTTCTGATGAATTGAATATAATCTAAGCTATACAACGGGGCCGATCTGCCGTAAAATAGACTAATGTTATGGCAAAGCTATATTACGTAGCGCTTCTTACGCAAAATGGTACTAAGTACTGTCTAAATGTTATGTGGTTGTTGTGGAGTCAGGCATTTTAGATACAAAACGCACAAATATCAAAAAGAGTCCGCATATGATTCACACGCGATTGAAGTAAAACTTATTTGCTACTGTACAAGATGGCATTTAAGTAATAATAAATACATCATATAAGAATTTTGTATAATGATTATTAGTAATATGGTAACACATCGTGATGCACACATTCATTAGTGTCAACCATTATACACATTTTTATAATTATAAATTATAAATTATATATTTAAAATAGCATTAAAATATGTACAATATTTAAAAACAATAATGTAATTAAAGTCATACTTCAAATATGACATGATCGGTTTGTCATTGTAATTAGTATTTAGAAATGAACCTTCATTAGAGAAATGAAGTAATTGCTGATTAATAAATTCTATATTATTCGTTCACACAGTGGATTATGTTAAACAACTCCTAAACAAATATTGTTTTCGCAACTTCACTTATCATGTAATTGTGTTTGATAAACTTCATGTAATTAAAATTAACATACATTCATTGACTGGTTGTATGTTTTTTTACTTTTTCGCTGGCGATATAATCTCGTTTAGCTGTAATATTTGCCTTATCTAAAAATGTTTTCCATTCTAATAACTTCAAAGATTTATAGAAACTACGAATAATATAGAAATAATTTCTAATCAATAAACCTTCGTTTATCATTTTACGTTTTATTATTTTCAAGGAACAGGGTAAAATATTCTTCTGATTCAGACATTTTTCATTAAATCAAGAACTGTACTACGATGTAACTTTAAAATATTTATTTATCTATGCCAATTTCCTTGTTGATATCGGTACGCATTCAACGCCTCTGCCGGTACGCATACAACGCTGATGCCGGTACGCATACAACGCTGATGCCGGTACGCATACAACGCTGTTGCCGGTACGCATGCAACGACAGATCTCTATTCACATACGCGACGACAAATCACAATCGACCCGTATAGAAATGATATCATCGAATGCGAATGACAAATCATTGGCACTCGACTCTTCTATTATCGACTCTTATCTGCCGTAACGCACTTCCGTTGCATTTGTACGGATTTACACCCTAGTTGCACCTAAATAAGTTTTACTTCAAAAACAAAGTTATCATAACTGCATCTTTGTGACGCGGCATAATAACATATGGGTGAAGGTAAAACGCTTTATAGCACAGAAAATACATGGCATTTTGACAGTATTTAGTACCATTTTGTAAGACAAGCGCTACGTAACATAGCCTTGCCATAACATTGGTCTATTTTACGGCAGAATGGGCCCCAAATCGTTTATCACGTTCATGATCCAAGTATGTTCTCATCATAAGTGAGCGAACATATCAGCTTGATATGGTTTTGTGACAATTGAATTTATTTAAGTAATGCCATCCATAACTATAGAAATTTGACTTCATTCATTTTTCTTTGGTCAAGAAAATTCTTCTCGAAGTGCGGAGCAAGTATATATTAATTCCGTACTTCATGTTTTTTATTTTCAAATCATTTGTGTCAGCCTTGGCTAAAATATGATCAATCGGAGCTAAATATTCGATAAAAAAGGAATGTTAAGATAATGTATGTTAAGGGGCTATATTCTTATTAGTTGGTAATAAAGAGCCAAAAAGATATGTATTTGCTGTGCGATCGGGCGTTTTACACATAAAACGAAACTCACATATGCGTTATCAACGAGACGTCAGAAAGATGCACTTATATTAAAATTGTTATTTGGCATTTGTGCGTTTTGTAGGTTAGGTTTTTTGTGTGAAACGCCTGATAGCAGAGCGAATACATAGTTTTTCGACAGTTCGTTACTACTAACTAATACGAATATAGACCCGTAACATAGCGTTACCGTAACATTTCTATTTTTATCGGAAAATTGGCCTCTAAATATTATAAAAAATAGCAAAAGTCTATGATTGTGTGGGTTGAACAATAAAATAATAAAATTATGAAACACAAGAGTGACTTTGCGTATAAGTCTGTATTTGTTACACAAAACATTTTTAGATTTTCCAATCATCGGTAAAAATGTATTGGAAAATGCACACTTCTACAAAACTAAAAATCACGATAACAAATTAGAATTTTCAATAATTTAACACGGGGATATAATTATTAAAGCAAAATTGTCACATTCGTTCGATGTCGTCTATAGGAGGCATTCGTTTACTCACGTTGTCAAGTGGATGTCGCCTATAGGCGACGCTACGATTTTAGAGATTATGCTTATTATTACCTATACACTGTTCTGAAGTAAGGTCCTGTGGCCATTCCACAACCTGCCCGATGGTTTCCATGCCTAAAATCATCATCAATGTCCAGAACATTAGCAAGCAGACTTTTCGAAGATCGCTCTTTCAGTTCGACGACATCATGCATGTGTTTCGAAGGTGGCGGCACAGGAACGGAATAGTCGGAGGCGCCCGATGAACCGGATCTAGTTTGTCCAGGTCTGCTCATTCGCAAAATGCAAGGCAACCAGTAAAGGAATACGACTCTTATCTGAAAAAATAAAAATGAAAAAATTGTTTACTTTTTGAATATAATGCGACGAAACAATTTTTCAATTACATAAACTATACTGGGCGAGCGGTGCGGATATCGGTTAGGACGTGGCCTAGCACCAACTAGTCCCAGGTTCGCTGGTTCGATTCCAGCTACCGCCATAGCCCGACATCAGGCAACTTTGATGTAAAATTTCCACTTAAGTTTATAGAACTCAAATATAGCCTCAAGTAAAAATCGCCTCTCGTGGGTATAATTGCATATGTAATAAAAATGTCGGCAAATACTTCGTGTATAGATAGTTGGTCATAACTGGACTGGGCAACTACTGGGTTGCCATCCATTCAAGATCCATATAATAAAACAGTCAAAACAATTACTGAATGTCCTAAGTGTGTCAGATTGTAATTAAAAAAAAATTATAAAAAAACTATATTAATTATTAACTTACCGTAAAGTAAGTTATAGTAATCGCAAAAAATCAAAAATGAATTTTTTTGCATATTTTGACGATTCAGAAGTTTCTGAACTTTTTGGTATACATTAGAATAAGATGAATGTATGTGCGTGTGAATAAAAATTTTCGCCGACGCTTTTGAGAACACAGATCAACCGATTTTAATGATTTAATGATTCGATTTCTATTGGTAGAAAGACGTGCTGGTTACTTTTTGGCAAAAGCAGGTCCAGCCGTTTTAAAGATACGGAACAAAAAGTGCAATAAATGTTAATTCACTTTTTTGCAGAACAGAGCGTCCAATTTGAATGATCCAAAAAGCATTTTATTTTTATTGGCTAAATTAAGAACTGATTGAATCTTTGGAAAGGCAGGTCTAACGACTTCGGAGATTCAATAATAAAAAAACATTTGGTGGTCAGAAATGATTTTTCAACATCGATTTATCAAACTTTATAGAGATTTCAATAATAAGTACAAATTTTGATTATATTTTTATAAGTTTAGTGCTAATGTTTATCTGTTAGACGTGACGCTTTCGCGATTCTATATTTCGTCTCTAAAATAGCTACGCAGAGCGATTTCTTTGAAAAATGTTCAAAATTTTCATCAAATTTCAAAATATAAACAAAAAAGTCATATTTTTTAAAAAACTAATTATTCTCGAAGTTTCAAAATGTTGTAAACTTATTTTAAAAATTTTAATTTTTGGTACGAAAAATTCCAGCAATTTGCTTTAAGGTACGATGCCATGCACCACTAGTTTTTAATATGTTTGCTTTTTCTTACTAAATATCCAAGAATACAAATATATTTATTTTGCTATAACTATGTGACTATAATAATTTTAAACATAAAAGACAAATACAGAACGATATTTTCCCATAATGGATGGAAAATTCATTACGTTATTAATAGCCATAAATAAATACTGAAACAACAATAAATTTAATTCTACAAATACTATTCAAATTATTTCCGATTTAAAATTATTTTAAACGTTTTGGCAAAAAAATAGTAAAATACTTTTCATGCCTTTTATAAATAGTTGGTGTATTCAAATGGGTTTTATATTCGGCATCATTTACAAATGATAACAAATATCAATAAGATTATGTATAGTAATTTCAAATTTAATTAATTCTATAGATTGATATTTTAATTACTTAAATGATGCAATATTTGTAAATATTTGAAATAGATCTTCATAGATCTTCTTCGATAATAAAATTTCTAAAACTCGAGCATAGACTATGGGACCGATTCTGCCGCAATGTTATGATAAGGTCATGTTATGAAGAATTTTCCATAGTAATATAGACAAAAGTTATGCGGTTGGTGTTCAGTCAGGCGAATTTCTCAGGTTTTCTCATACAAAACATAACCTAAAAGCCGCACAAATATCAAAAAAACGATGTTAGATAAGTGTGTGTTTCTGTTTCCTCTTAGGTAACATACGAGTGACGTTGCAGTTTATGCTTAAAACGCCGGAATGAACAGCAAATACATGATATTTTGACAGCATTCAGTATGATTCATTCGCATAATGTATGGGGAGTCGGAGCGTAACATGCCATGCCGTAACATTTCTCTGTTATGCGCAGAATCGGTCCATATATTTGTAATTACTTCATTTTTATGTATATTATTAGTTTAGTAATTTTATTTATATAACAAATGATTATATTTCGAAAGTTTTAACAATTTTTATTGAGGGTTTCATTTGTGTATTGCATTAAAATAAAGTCACAAAAAAAATCTCTAGTGCAAAAAGCATCCTGAGTACCAAAACCTTTTTGTGTCTGTCCAACACTATTAATTTTTAAAAATTATAGAGATGTATTTGAACTTCTCAAGCAGTTCTTAAGTTTTATTTATATGAAATGAACTAACGTATTCAATTTCATTTGTAATTTATAGGAACAAATACAAGAAGATATAGTCAATGTATTTTGAACATAATATTAAGAATACATATCTGAATATAACAACTGATCAGTAGTACAACGTAATTAGGCAATCGTAGTTGACAATGAGAACTATGCAATTTTCCCCAGAATTAATTCTTCGAGTGTGAATGTATATATATATATATATATATATATATATATAATTAATAACATGCCAAGATATAATTTATAAGGTGTAAGTGTGAATTGATGAGCAAGTTGCGTGCTTGTTTCCGAACTCGAGCCGATTAAGGTGAAAGACGTTCCAACTTCATTTTTCTCCACTGCTTTTACATGTTAATATTTTATTACAAATGCTTGTATTCATCGATATATATTTTCGACCGTTATTTCTGATAGGATATTATCAAATTGTAACATTTGTACTAAATTCCATTTTTCGCTTCGTCCTCCTGAGAGTTCTGCGTTGCTGCTTGGCGACATGGTAGCTCTCATCGGTGATGGGCCCAAATTTATTCTCACATACTGTGGGTTTGCCCACATAACCTGGGTCGTCGCAAATTAACATCATCCGTCCAGTCACTCTCCGTAAACTACAGGTTTGATTGGTCGTCCTTAGTCTTTGCTTCGAAGATACTTTTGATACATTAATACAATTTGTGCATATTTTAACTCGTCGATCAAATATTTTACCTTTCTGCGCATCCTCAGTTTGACAGGGTCTTACGAATTGTTGACATCCAAAACTGGCTACACATGATAAAATAAATGTCGCGAATACAAAGCCTATCACCACTGTCTCAATCATATTCTAATTATAGGTTTTCTGATGAATCTAATTTTATTATTTTTTTTAAATCAACAGGGCATTTTGAAAAATTTCAATATGAATTCATTTTGTTATGACAAATTTCATGATGACTAGATTACTATGCATATTAATAATAATTTGACAGAACTGCGTATATGTATCAATTGCGTATATATATAGTATTTTTGTGAGTTAAATGGATCGAATTGAAGGCATATTTTGAATTATAATTCGTAATGCATGAAATTAAAAACTTTACACGAATGAATAAAAAATATTTGATAATAAATTTATATTTTAAAAATACACGTGTAAGAATTTAAAAATGTATAATTTACGTAATATAATGGTATTTTTTGATTGATAGTACTGTTGTTTCATTGACTGAGTACAAAAGATTGGTCTATTAGGTAAAATAAACAAATAAAAACATTAATAAACATCTAATTATCTTCCCGTAGGGCAACTTATAGTAATCGCAAAAAAATCGAAAATGAATTTTTTTATATATCTTTACGTTTCAAAACCTCCTGAACATTTTGGCATACCTGAAAATATGGATGTATGTGTGTGTGCGGATACAAATTTTCGTCGACGATTTCGAGAACACCGACCAACCGATTTAAATAATTCAAAAATCATTTAAATCGCAATGATAAGGAGACGTGCTAATTAGTTTTTGGCGAAGGCAGGTCTAGCCGTTCCGAAGATATGGGGCAAAAAGTGCCAAAAACGGTCACTTAGTTTTTAAGAGAACGAAGCGTCCGATTTGAATAATTCAAAAAACATTTTACTTGTATTAACGAGATGAAAAACTGATGCAGGTTTAGCGGTTTCGGGGATCTAATGAAAAAAGTAAACTAGCTGTAAGTGGAATTCTGTCTTAAGGTAATTAAGGCATCGTGCCTTAAGGCATATTGCTGGAACTTCCCGTACCAAAAATTATTAATTTTTTAAAAACGATTAACATTTTTGAAAAAAATGTACTTTGAAAAAATAAGATTTTTGAGAAATTATATATATGGACAAAAAATTACTTTTTTTGAAAAAAAAATTTTTTTTTTTAATTTTTTTTTTTGAAAAAAAAAATTTAATTTTTTTTTTTGAAAAAAAATATTTTTTTCTTTATTTTGACATATTGTGGAAGATCTGAACTTTTTTTTCAAAGCAATCGTACTGATTTAACTGCATATGGAAAAAATATAAAGCGCGTAAGCGCCGCGTCGCTGTCTAACGCATAAGCATTGGTACGGAACCCATAGGAATGTTAACAAAATGTATACTTATTATTAAAATCTCTATAAAATATCTGATAATTTGATGTGCATATGTCTAATGATTATTTTGACCGCCAAATGGCTAATTTTTTTACTTTTCCTCCATATCTCCGAAACCGCTAGACCTACCTTTATGAAAATTTTATCGATTTTTCATCTTGTCAATACAAGTAAAATGTTTTTTGAATTATTTAAATCGGACGCTCCGTTCTCTTAAAAACTGAGTTACCGTTTTAGGCACTTTTTGCCCCGTATCTTCGGAACGGCTAGACCTGCCTTCGCCAAAAACTAATCAGCACGTCTCCTTATCAATACGAATCGAATGTTTTTTGAATTATTCAAATCGGTTGATCCGTGTTCCCGAAATCGTCGACGAAAATTTGTATCCGCACATACATACACACACGTACATACATACACACACACATACACACACACATACACACACACACACACACACACACACACATACATCCATTTTTTCTAAGGTATGCCAAAATGTTCAGAAACCTTTGAAACGTAAAGATATATAAAAATTTTCATTTTCGATTTTTTTGCGATTACTATAACTTGCCCTACGGGAAGTTAAAAAAAACGCCATCTGGCGGTCAAAAATGATCATTAGACATATGCACATGAAATTATCAGATATTTTATAGAGATTTCAACAATAAGTATAAATTTTGTTTACCTATTTCTAGGGGTTCCGTACCAATGTTTATCCGTTAGAGGGCGATGCGCCGCTTACGATATATTACGATATTTCGTCTCTAATCAGTTAAAGCAGTACGATTCCTTTGAAAAATAGTTCAGAATTTCCAAAATATTCCAAAATAAATTTTCATTCAAAAAGCCTTTTTTTATAAAAAAAAATAAATTTTTGTCAAAAATTTATAGTTTCTCAAAAATGTAACTTTTTCACAGTGAATTTTTTTCAAAAATGTTATTTTTTTATAAAAAAAAAACGAGAAGTTCCAGCAATTTGCCTTAAGGCACGATGCTATGCGCCCCACTAGTTAAATTTTGTCTTTCGTAATATCTAATTAACATACAGACAAAAATTCAGTAATTCACCTATATACTTTTATTAGGGCTACTGAATTGGATCAGTGGCAAATTTTTCGAGGTTGCAACATCTGATATTTTTATCCCCTTTTCGCAACTTGAAGTTTAAATTAAAACCTTTGAAATTATTCGGTAGAGATTTAAAACAAAATTAAAACTTCAGCTTCGATCTGCAATTACTAATTACATCTCATAGCCGGTTAATGAGATATTGAGTTGTTGCTTAGTTCTCAATTCATTTTATATTCTTTATCTTTTGAAATACTGTAAACAAATTCTGTTCTGTTCATAACATTGAAAATGAGAGATTTGTATATATATACACACACACACACACACACACACATATATATATATATATATATATATATATATATATATTTTGTATGATTCTGAATTTGATGTTGACATATGTATTAACAAAGTCTAATAATCGGGCATAACATCAATAAAAAACATGAATTTCTTTCAAAAATTTATTTTAAATCCATACGTTTCGGCTATAATCCTAGCCTTCATTCAGTGGAAACTAAAATTAAAATTAAAAACTAAAACAATTGAATTGGAGTGAAAAGAAAAAATAAAATAGTAATTAGTACTTAAAATTAGTTGATCTTAGTGTTAAATTTGAAAATTTTAATAATCCATGGTATTAGGATATGGTAATGCACTACACTATGTATTATAAACATTAACTTGAAATTACACAATATTTTCACAAAACTGATTTGAAAAAATCACAAATGGATAGTGTGTTATTCGTAGACTGGTTGAAGATGTAATGGAGAAAGACATTTTTTGGACTGATGTAAAGGAGAAAGACAATCTAACGGAGATGTAAAGGAGAAAGACAATCTAACGGACCACGCAATACTTCTATCGGACAAAATATTTTGGGACAACAACATCAAATTAATTACAAAAATTTTAACAGATAACTCTTATCCCCTAAAACTTATAAATTCCGTAACTAGTAACAGACGAACGTACCTTTTGAATAAAATGGACAATTGCACAGTACATAACGATTTAGCTGACTCAGAAACTCATTCTGGTGTAATATGTTTGCCATACATTAAAGAATTGTATGTTCCTTGGAAAAAACTTTTTTATAAATCTGGACTTCGACTTGTAACCAATTTTAGTACAACTACTAGCACTATTTTTACCAAGACAAAAACCCCATTTAATATTGAACGACTCAGAAATCTCGTCTATCAAATAAATTGTTTAGACTGTAATTTAATTTACATAGGAGAAACTAGCCAGAACCTCAATAAACGGTTACAACAACATAAAAACAATTCAAAAAACCCCAAACAATTCAAAACAGTTCTTGCAGACCATATATACACTTTAAAACACAATATGGACTTTTCTAATCCGACTGTACTACAATTTGAACAAAATTTATTTAAACGAAGAATTATAGAGGGATCTTTTTTAACTATTTATAACAATAAGACAATAAATAAACGGAATGAGCTCAACACGCTGTGCGACACAAATCTCTTCTATTTAGATAACATTTCCAAATTTCTTACAAAACAATAAAAGCGTTCGCGCAAAGGTTTTACAATTCGTTCCACACATGTGCAGAATCTTGGTAAAAATATTTTTAAAAAAAATGTCTTTCTCCATTACATCTTCAACCAGTCTACGAATAACACACTATCCATTTGTGATTTTTTCAAATCAGTTTTGTGAAAATATTGTGTAATTTCAAGTTAATGTTTATAATACATAGTGTAGTGCATTACCATATCCTAATACCATGGATTATTAAAATTTTCAAATTTAACACTAAGATCAACTAATTTTAAGTACTAATTACTATTTTATTTTTTCTTTTCACTCCAATTCAATTGTTTTAGTTTTTAATTTTAATTTTAGTTTCCACTGAATGAAGGCTAGGATTATAGCCGAAACGTATGGATTTAAAATAAATTTTTGAAAGAAATTCATGTTTTTTATTGATGTTATGCCCGATTATTAGACTTTGTTATATATATATATATATATATATATATATATATATATATATTTGGTAGGTAAAATACTTATTAAACATGCATCCATCCACATAACTAGTGGGGTGCATGGCATCTTGCCTTAAAGCAAATTGCTAGTACTTCCTGTACCGTAGTAAAACATTGGTGAAATAAAAATAATCAATAATTGTTGTGAAGATTTTGAAATAGATTATATGTTATAAATACGTATTTGTATTTTATGAACAATTTATGTGTACGTTTACAAGAGTCTATTATTTTTACATTCGATCTTTTTGGTAATTTAGAATTTTTTTTGAAGATTCGATTTTTTTTAACTTCTAAAATATTCTCAAATTTTTGTAAGAAATAATTTTATTTTAATTTTTCAAGATTTAGTTTTTTTTGAAACTTTGAATTTTTTTGAAAATTTTGATTTTTTTTTTTGCAAATTTTCAAGATTTCTGAATTTTCTGTATATGGATTTTTTTGCACACCATCTACTCAAGCAAAATGTTTTTTCAATTGATTTAATCGGATAATCTGTTCTCTCAAGTGTTTAACCGTTTTAAACCCTTTGCAAATGATTTGAATGAATGGTTTTTCAATCATACAAATAGATTATTCCATACTGTCGAAAATGTTGAGGACGTTTGTTTGAACCATATAAATAAACTTCAAAATTAAAAATCTTGGTACGGAATCCAAAACATTTACGCAAAATGTGTACATAATATTAAAATCTCTATAAACCAATAAACATTTTTGACCGCCGAATGGCAATTTTTTAACTTATTTTTATTGAGAGTCCATAACAGAAAGACCTGCCTTTTCAAAATTGTAATCAGTTTTTCATCTTGTTAATACAAGTAAAATGTTTTTTGAACTATTAAAATCGGACGCTCCGTTCTCTTAAAAACTGAGTTACCGTTTTTGGCACTTTTTGCCCCATATCTTCGGAATCAAATATCTTCGGATCAAATTTTTATGAAGGCAAGTCTAGCGGATTTGGAGATCTAGTAAAAAAAAAGTGAAAAGAAATGTCATTTGGCGGTCAAAAATGATCATTAGACATATGCACATCAAATTATCAGATATTTTATAGTACCAATGTTTATCCGTTAGCCGGCGACGCGGCGCTTACGCGCTTTGATATTTCGTCTCTATGCAGTTAAAGCATTACGATTTCTTTGAAAAAAGTTCAAAATTTCCAAAATATCTTCAAAAAGTCTTCAACAAAAAAAAAAATTGGTACGGGAATTTGCCTAAAGGCACGATGCCATGCGCCCCACTAGTTTTAAATTTATTTCTTCAATTGAAATGTTTATACAGTATGAATAAAATAATTACGTAGCCCAGGGTAATTTGTTAACAATAAATTTGTAGCAGTAGAAAAAATATTCAACTGGTATTTTATCTTTTCAGGAGCCGTTACAACTTCTAACGGTTTTCTAGTAAATCCAATTCCAGTTTTCGAAATCTCTAAATCCGCCGAAGAGTAAATACGCTGAGCGTGTGTGCCCTTCGTGAAATCCAAGCGGGTAAGTTTTATTTAAATATTTTCATATTGCATATGAATCGGTTGTTTTATTCGAGACACGAACCGACCTAGGATTTGCCGTGTGACGCGTCAGTTCTCTATAATCTTCGAATCGCCCCAAGATGTGCGAGTAATGCAGCATCCGATCCCTAGCTGGGGCTACGAACTAATATATATATACCGTTGGTCTCGACCGCTTTTTGCTTCGACTAATATTATTAGCATTTTATTTTCGTCTAGATTATTTTCTAGCAGACGAATAACAAATTCATGGGTTTTTCAAAGTATATACACATTTTTTTGCACTTGCAAGATATTAACAGAGTTTTGCGACTAATCTGTTATTTATTTTTTTTGAACTGTTAATCAAATTTCCGAATGGCTAGATAGAATCTTATGACATACCTACATGTATTCATATATATTTATTACACATAATAGCATCATAACTATATAAATAATACATTTATTACCATTTTATTTTTGTCTAGATTATTATATAGCAGACGAATAACAAATTCATGAGTTTTTCAAAGTATATACACATTTTTTTGCACTTGCAAGATATTATCAGAGTTTTGCGACTAATCTGTTATAAATTTTTTTTGAATTGTGAATCAAATTTCTGAATGGCTAGATAGAATCTTATGACATGCCTACATATATTCATATACATTTATTACACATAATAGCATCATAACTATATAAATAATACATTTAAATGCATAGTTTTGTTTGTTGTTCGCATTAGTTCAATACCATTTATTATACAGGGTGTCCCAGAACTTCAACGTCACAAGGTGATAGTATTGGTGGTTAACTATCATGAAAGAAATTAGAAACAAAAACTAATTCCATAGAGTTTGGAAATTATGAGCTTTTAAGTGCAACTCATAGCTTTGGTAAACTGTGACCATTTTTTGGTTACTGTGACTAATTGTCATTATTTTTGTTTATTTAAACTTTGGTATCGTTACTGTGAATAACATTTCCAGGTACAATCAAAAACAATAACACAATTGCCTCAAGTTTTCAGGTATTATATCTTCTTGATGAACTAAGAACTTAATTTTTTTTGAATAAGTTTACTTTCAGAGGCCCTCCTTTTTTTAAAAAAAAAGTACAAAGTGTGTTTGCAAGTTCCATCAATTGTAAAATGGTAGAGTACTTGATTACTTTATTATTGAAAAATTTGAGTAAAAAATAAAAACCAAAAATTAACCACAATAACTGAAAAATTGTCACTGTTTGATCAAAGTCCTGGGATGCACTTAAAAGCTCCTAATTTTCAAAGTACGTGGGATTTTTTTCTATTAATTTATAGTATTTACGATCAATATTATCACTCCATTTTGACTTGTGTCGAGTTGAGTTCTGGGGCACTCTGTATATAATTGCATTACTAGACCTTCGAATAAAAAATAATTTACTTTAACTAATTATGCTATTAATATAAAATTATTATTTATTAAGTTTAAATGTAGCACATTTCAAATAATGTGCAATTTTGCCTTGAAAATTACAAGTGTGTAGTTTATGTGAAATTGCAAGAGTGTAGTTTATCTTACGCTTAAATTACTTTATTTTTTTAACTTCCCGAAGGAGAAGTTCATGTTTTCATAAAAAAATCCGATTCGATAATTTTACATTTCCTCGACTTTTCAAGCCATTCTGAATCGAATGAGACCAAATTTGTAAAAAGTATGTGTGTGTGTATGTGTGCGTGTGCGTGCATGTGAATAGATTTTTTGCCGTAAATCGAAGTTTTCTCAAAACGACTGGATATCAAAAATTTAAAAGTCATTCGATGTATCTCGATGAGGACTGTCATTTTGTGCGACGATCTGCCAAGCTGTTTCTTTACAATTTAAAAAAAAGTGTTAAATTTTTCCACATTTAAGCTCATACTACCGAATCGATTTTAAAAAATAGAAAACTGTTCGAAAGATATTAGTTGGGAATGACACAGATTAGTTTCAGGTGAAAATCTACCGAGCCGTTTTCTTGTAATTAACTGTTGAAAAAAAATTAGGCCGATTTTTGTGGAACTTTTTTTTGGCGATATATACCATGGTCTTATAAAACTTACTCAAATATTACGGCCTTGCGACAAGTAGTTTAACTTTAAAAATTCATCAAAGTTTGAGAAAATGAGAAGTTTTTTTGACGTTTGTTAAAATGAAAATTGGTATAGAGTGTTCGTTCGTTTTCAATGATGTGGAATAAAACCACTCTGTACTCTTATCATCACTCATAAACTAATTTTTTTTTGATTAAGTCGATTATTTACACATATCGGGAAGTTTATGTAATCTGCCTCAAAGCTAAATACCATTGAGCCATTTGGCGGTCAAAAATGATCATTAGACATATGCACATCAAATTATCAGATATTTTAACAAACAATAAGTATACATTTTTGTTAACATTCCTATGGGTTCCGTACCAATGCTTATGCATTAGACAGCGACGCGGCACTTACGCGCTTTATATTTTGTCCCTATGCAGTTAAAACAGTACGATTGCTTTGAAAAAAGTTCAGATCTTCCACAATATGTCAAAATAAAGAAAAATTTTTTTTTCAAAAAAAAAAAACAAAAAAAAATAAAAAAATTTTTTTTTTTTAAAAAAATTTTTTTTTTCAAAAAAAAGTAATTTTTTGGCCAATTTATAGTTTCTCAAAAATCTTATTTTTTCAAAGTAATTTTTTTTTTCAAAAATGTTAATCGTCTTTAAAAAAATAATAATTTTTGGTACGGGAAGTTCCAGCAATTTGCCTTAAGGCACGATGCCTTAATTGCCTTAAAACAGAATTCCACTTACAGCTAGTTACTTGCTAAATTAAAGTAAAATTTAATTAAAGAGTAATATTTCATTTAGAAAAATGTCATTTTGTCACGTAAACGTCATATTATGATTCGATTGATTATTATTTTCAATGCATTACACACGGGTAAAATAATATTCCGATATTTTTTGTAATATACATAGAATTCATGTTTCAATCATTTGCATAGCATCGGATTAAAAGCAAATATGGGTGCGCGCGTACGCTGAAATTATAATTGAATCTCAAAATGTTTAATTGGCAGATATGAAATGTGATACAAGCAATATTGCTAATGAATGTTACAGAACTAAACAAAAATGTTTGGTTCTTGTTGTATATTTTCACATGTTGTAGATCGAAATATTAGATAATCGAAATTTGTGCTGATGGACGTATTGTTTCATACAGAGAAAAACCTTCGTTAAAAAAAATCAGCATATTTTTTTCTGAACATTTTCATTGTACAATGCACTGTTAATTTTATCACTTCTTGAGTTATGATTATATGGTTTTTTCATAGTTAAAAACTTCAAGTTTGTATGAATTGGAATCTATACATATTTGATTTTCAGAAAATATTAGTTGATTTATGAGTATTAAATATAAATCAAATTTGTTTATATGTAATCAAATTTTCTATATATATAATCTATGTCTACAAGATATAAAACTTATGTATATATGTACACAAATATTCTTGTGAATTTATAAAAGCCGCATTAATCACTCAACCAAGTTCTTACTATATTTGATTTTTATGCAATGTGAAGAGCATAAATTATTCTGAAGCCCAAAAGGCCATTATGTCGTAAAAGGGTATGGTCGAAAAACATACGTATATGTGATTCGATGTCAAAAAGATTGATCGAAAGTTATAAAAAACGGTTTTGGAAGATACGTTTTTTAGTCGAAAGTATGTGATGGAAATTTTGTTGTAGATTTTTGCTTTACTGTATGCTGTAAGCTTTTTAGACTGCCAATAAGTACATTTTTCAAATCTGCATGGAAATGTTTTCATACGGACAATCTTTACCCTTTTGCTAAAAGCGTCGTCTATAGACGACATCCCGATTTTTTACTTTTGCTTCTAGATTTATCACTCCGAGTTGAATTATTGACAATTCTAGTTAGTTATTGTCGTCCTCAGTTTTTTGCAAGTAAAATGTTTTAATTTTCTATTACATTTACTCAACCAAGTTCTTACTATATTTGATTTTATGCAATGTGAAGAGCATAAATTATTCTGAAAGCCCAAAAGGCCATTATGTCGTAAAAGGGTATGGTCGAAAACATACGTATATGTGATTCGATGTCACAAAGATTGATCGAAAGTTATAAAAACGGTTTTTGGAAGATACTTTTTTAGTCGAAAGTATGTGATGGAAATTTTGTTGTAGATTTTTGCTTTACTGTATGCTGTAAGCTTTTAGACTGCCAATAAGTACATTTTTCAAATCTGCATGAAATGTTTTCATACGGACAATCTTTACCCTTTTGCTAAAAGCGTCGTCTATAGACGACATCCCGATTTTTTACTTTTTGCTTCTAGATTTATCACACTCCGAGTTGAATTATTGACAATTCTAGTTAGTTATTGTCGTCCTCATTTTTTTGCAAGTAAAATGTTTTAATTTTCTATTACATTTTTATCGATAAAGATTGAAACATCTTTAAATATTTTTGTAACAAATACTTGGCCGCTTACTGGCTTGTACAGCTGTGTAACTGCTGCGGTAAACATATTGTAGCGACAATGCTTAGTTCAAAATTTTTATTCTAATGAGTGTCGTTAAATGTATTTAAAGTTGAAGAAGTTTTTGATAAAAAGAAGCATGGTTGTAAACGCCTTGCGTGTGTGTATGGTTTTACTTCATTCAGTGAGATAAAGATAATATTAATTTTTTGATTTTTGTGTCTATTAGGTCAATTTTTTTTGCACATCATTTTATGTAATTTCCATTTGTTTACCCTATCCGTATTCAAAGTTGAAGAAGTTTTTGATAACAAGAGGCATGGTTGTAGATAATGCCATGCGGTGGAGATGCATGGTTTTACTTCCTTCAGTGAAATAAAGATAATATTAGTTTTTTGATTTTCCTTTCTATCTGATCAATTTTTTCACATTATTTTATATATAATTTTTCCTTTGTTTTCCCTACTCGCTCTGCTGA